AAACACAACAACAATTAGGTACTACCCGGAATGGAACACCTACAACTGGATTTCTGCAACACTCAACTTGTTAAAAAAATATACTCTATTAGTAAATTTTGTACAACAAAACAACTATTTTTTAACATACGGGAATTAAGGTTTTTTCTACGGGAGACAAGTAGAAAGAGTAAAAATCGCACAGATTGCGACCCATCAAACAGCTATAGAAAAAGAAAAAATTCAATAAACATAACAAAATGATCCTAAGGCAACCTCTTACAACTGAAGAAGATCACTCTACCAACTTATGAAAGCAAGTATATAAAAATTTATGTGCCGAAAAGACAGACTAAAAATGTGTTGTCTGCACGTTTAAAGTATATAGGCGTTCAAATGCTAAGGGACCGACTGGTGAATCTAACAATATGAACAACGCTCGCGATTAAAGGCAAGAACTTTCGAAGAGAAAAAATTCAAAAACAACGATGAAGCCTATAAAAAAATAAGTGATTATTTACAAAAAAACAAAAAAATTACTCAAAACTACACGCCTCCCACTAAAGAGGGTGATGGGGTGATGTTAGATGAAGAGGCAGCAGCTAAATTTCTTCCAAATTCAAATTTTTGATTTTAGTCGGGCACATTTTGTTCATGTTTTTAACTTTACAAGTGATTTTTTGCTATGTAAGCATTCACTTACAGCGCTTTAAAATTTCATACATGCCCAATCCTCCTCATTAAAATTAACCTCAATCAGAATTCAAATTTGGTTCTATGCATTAGTAAATTAACCCTCTCAAACCCTACAAAAAAAACGCTTTATCATGTTCAATAAATTTTGCGTCTTCGTCCCCCGTTGACAAATCCCTGTTTGTTTTTTTACCCTATCTCACCAGAAAAGCTTAAAGAGCACACGTCGCCTTGACCGCCATGTTCACTGAAGTGGCGTGGCTCCAGACGAAGTGGTAGGGAGTGAATCTGTACACTGACTGTTAGGAGTATGTGGCTGCATCGGTGAAGAGGGGACAGTGTTTGGTAAAGAACTTGACTGTCGAGGTGTAGGAGGATTTAATCTTTGAGAACTGGAATGGCTTGAAAGCGATATAGGCGGCAACGGTTGGGCTTGTTGAACTGTAATATTTCCATAGTGGTCTAAAAACAATAAATAAAAATCGAAAAAGCGTGGTGCCAGAAATTTAAAAAAAAACAATAGTCCTGCAACGTTTATATGGATATAAGCAGGTGAGTTCAACAAACCGGATGCCACAATAGAAGCCGGAACTGCACGGAGTGTCGTCGATGAAGAAACAGTAGGTTGACTAGACAATGCTGGCAGCTGTCGTGCAATTTGCCCTTGGGAGCTAACAGTGTACTGTCGCGACATAGACACACCGCTGCCCGTCGTAACAACTTGTCCACTCATAGACGCTGCATGTAATTAGTCAAAGTACGAAGAATAATAAGGTCAATATAGTTACTTTATAGTTACTTTATAAGAGATTAAATTAGCCACTTACTAAAAAACTGTAATCTTTTTGTCCTACTTACGAAGTCACGTAACAAAAAACTAACAAGGTGCAGGAATCTGTCTCGATGTGCCTGTACCACCAAGAGACTCACTGCTTCTACCACTACCACTTCCCATAATTACACCAATTGATGGCATCCTTCCACCCTGATAGCCACCGCTAACACTTCTTCTAAATTTAGAAAATTCCGAACAATGGAATTTGTGATACTAATTTAAAAATAAGTACGTGCATTTATAGCAAATTACATTGTATTAATAAGACTTACGTAATGCCAACAACAGGTTGCATTCCACTGCGGACAGTCATTGTAACCTATAAAAGATCACTTCTAAACATCACCTTAACATGATCAGCAGAAGCAAAATGAACATTAAGATTAAATTGCTGCCGAATAATGCTCATTTACAAAAGAAATAAAATACACCCAACACTTACTAAAATCTCTGAGAACTGCAAAAAACTAGTTTACCAACAAAACTAAACAAACAAATCACCTGAGGCTGAGTATTAAGAGATCTGCTAGGTAAAACACCTCCCGACCGTTTCTGTGTAATTCTTTGCCCAGTGGGAAGCATGCGAACCGTACCTTGCGGAAGTTTGTACGACCTATTGTCCGTGCCAGCACCAGTCTGAGTGATAAAAACCCGACTTGGCTGAAAGATTTTGGTGGACTCACAATTACTTCAACTGGTAGGTAGACACTTTATTCATGGTAATGTGCAGTGGTGCTTTAAAATTTACCTTCAATACAACCAGAAATTTATTAGGAATAGAACAAAATCTCACCGTGCCGTGCAGAACTTTAATACATCAACAGAAATAACAACAGTTACCTCACACAAACAAAAGCAGAAAAAGCGTTAGCAACAAATATTTAGAAGCAAACACCCGAGTGAATGAAAAAACAATTGGCAAGCGGGTGGAAGAAGCAAAAAAGAAATACTAAAAAAAACATTATGACAGTAACCCGTGAAGGTGCAAGAAATTAAGCAATTGCTTCCTGAAATAAAAAAATTGTGGCCAAAAAGTAGTTGTGAACGAAGCTGCTACTAAGGACTAATTAGTCCTTTTGCAAGCACAGTTAAGGATTGTTCAACATGCACTAGCCGAATTAGACAGTCGTGCTATTAAAATGATTTGTAAATAGAAAAAAAAAAGTTAATTCTGATGTTTAATTCTACGTTCAAGCATTAATATACTAAGTTTCTTCAAATTTCGTGAGATATACCGTTCTTTTAGGGCGAATTTCTTGCCTTTGCCCTGCAGAAACAACCGATTGTACTTGTGGACGCATTGTCTGTAACTGCGGTTGATCATTTATAGCAGGAATTTCATTCCCTTGAGTAGAGACAATAACCGTACGCCCCGATGAAGTATACAGTTGGCTTGAAGCCGATGTACCAGAAGTAGAATACGCTGTATTTAACTAAAACCCGGATAATAATTACCAAGTAGCAATTAGAACTGTGAACAATATGTTACATATATCTTGTTATAGTCATGCAAAGATCTAGTGTCTTTAAATGGAACTGGTAAAACGTACCCCTACACGTTGAACAGGACTGGATGACGGTGTACGCTTTTGGGGAGCTAAGGCAACGGTTCTATAAACTGCTTGCCTTTGTTCAACTACCCCATCAGGGCGACTACTATATTGTATTCGAGCATTTGCAGGTTGACCATTACTCGATAACTAAAATTAAAAAAATTTAAGTGAACATATAACCGTGATGTTACCAATAGCAAAATTCTGTATCTATTTTATTAAAGTGCGTATGAAAAGTAGCTGACAACATTATCCTGAGATACAACAACAGTATATGGTTGTCCACTGCTCTGGACTATCTGAGTTCCTCCGCTCATCACAATTTGATGTTGGCTCGACTGCAGTGAGCCTGACGGTATGGTCACACGACGGGTTCCGCCATGATGAGCAGGCGTCAAACTGCTTACTGGGCTCTTAAAAGTACTCGTGAAAGAAAGGGAATGCTACACTCTAACAAAATGAAACATCTTATTTTCAAACCGCATAAATAATAAAATATTTTAAGCTTACAGACTGATGTTCCGCATAAGTCCTTTGTCCCACAACTACTTGTGACATATCTGTCGTGTTTCCAACAGCGGTCATCCCACTAGTCGATGCGGCCATTTGCATTGGATGTGAAATATTTCCTAAAAACAAAATAAATTTACCCGTTTCAATGCGCACGTTTTCTCATCGCCTTGTTCACAAAATTTTGAAGTTTCAGATGCTACCGGTCGTTCGAAGTCCCGTCGCCGTGTAGGGCGTAGAAGTAGGAGGACAGATCGGAATTGACGTGTGTGGAGGTGTCTGTTCCATAAATGCCATGCTTGCACGTTGATATTTTATCATTCCAGGCAAAGATGAGAAAATAGACTCTCTTTTTTCTACTTTCTGCTCACGTTCACTCTGCTCTCTAGCGATCTATGAATTTGGACATATGTTATTATATTTCATTGTAATCCTCAAGTGATAAACCAAATTAATGACATAATTTCAAAAACAAGATCTGGTCGTTCCCAAGCAGAGCCCACGGTCTACCAACGAAGTGACTATAAAAAGTATGCACAATGCAGTTCACAAAAATTACTGTTGCCTCCTTCTGTCGATCTTCTTCTTCCTTAACTCTTTGTTTTTCTTTGTCCTGCTCACGTACTTTTAACCTTGTCTCTTTCTGATATTCTAGAAGTTCAGCTGGATACGTAATATTATGGTAACGAACACCACACTCAGCAAGTTTCAACTCTTGTGGTGCTGTAGGACGACCATCTGTTGAGGTCAGTGGCTGGTCTAAAAGGCAATGAATGAAAAATTAAATAAAAAAGGCAATTCACTAAAAACAAACTCCTGACAGTAACTCATCCAACAATCTATAAGCAAAGAAACGTTCTTACTTGGGAAATGAGACCTCGAAGAGTTTCTCGTAACAATGTTCTTACAAGCATAGAATTTCTGCAGAGTCTGAGTAGAAAGGAGTTTAACAGCATCTGAAGCATACTGCTGTTCTGTTTTAGTATTTCCGCGTTTCATGTGAGCTGAAAACTAAGAAATTAATAATTTGATTTCTTTGTCTGAAAATGTAAGAAACTGAAAACTAATTAGAAATTAAATCAGACAAGCAATAAAAGCGAAGACCAATCAGCAATACACTAACAAAGTTCTACGCTAGAAACAGTTATTTTCTTAGTTTTCTTCGTTATTGGATCCAATGCAATAGTACGACCTTCCTCTCTTGGTATTACAATCATCTGGTAGCGGATAGAACATTGACGAGGAGAACTGTATCAGTAAACACAGTGAGGACAGAAAAATTTGAAAACCAATCTGTCAATTTCAAGTCAGCAAAACAGTTTTATACAAACAAGAATAATTTTGAAATCAATAAAACATAGCGTGTTTTTTTTTTT